ATGCAGAGAGCCCTCTGAGCATATGAACCCAATCTTCCCCTCATCTGAGACATCACGCAATAGATTTTTGTTCTAGCAGGGCTGCCTGTGGTGTTCAACAGCCTAGCTCGGAAAACACTTCCTAACAGCCTACAGCAAACTGCAGAACTGTAAAGAAGACCAGCAGTCACATCTCCAGGGTGTCACAGAAAGGAAGCAGGAAAAACTGATGGCAGCACTTTGTAAAGTTTCCAGATGAACCTAGGAAATGGAAGGATCCAGAAGAGAAGTAATCCCCTCCCCCTTTATTTTCCCCTTATTATTCCCTATAAGATCCCACCCAGACAACCTGTCCTGGGAAAAATTTCCTCCTAACCCTAAATTTGAGGTCAGTTTGTCCTTTACAACATGAAAAAGGCAAACTAATCACAATAGAGAGAAAGAGATAAAGGGAGAAAAAGATAAAATTAGTATCCAAAGAATATAAAAACATAAAATATGGAGTCATTGAATTTTTAATACACTTATAATGTCCAGGTGGTGCCATGTGACAGAAGATTAGCAAACTAGTACTTTGTATTTAAGGAAGGCTTAAAGAAAATGGGATTTTGGCAGCTGTGGATTTCTTGGTCTGTCAGATAGTATCTCAGATGTGAGAATTCATTTTAGGGGAAAGAATAATGGCAGACATGAAGGTAAATGGTACATACTGAAGGTAGCGGAGAGTAGATTAATTCAATGTCTTTGATAAAACAACTGATTTTCTGGACAAGAGACATGCAGAAGATAATTCTGGACATCAGCAAAGTGTTTGACATGGGAAATTGCCAGCTAAGACTGGAAGAGGGAGAAATTAGCAGAGAAATCATAAATCAGGGGGAGAATTGGCTGATGCAGACATTAATGCTAACCTACTGTGCTGAAATGGGAACTGTTGGGTTTAAGGGAGGTTATGAGTAAAGTTTTCTGAGCCTACTTTCGGTTAATGTTTGTGATAATGACCTGGGCACAAATGGTAGCAGTATCCTGACAAAATGTGCTGAAGCCACAATAGGAAGGCATTGTCATTACAAATGAAGACCAGAATATTATGCAGTAAAAAGAAGAACTAGATGATTTGACCAATACAGACAGGAAGAACTCTCACAGTAGGTTTTGGAGTAGGACTTTTATAAAGCTGAGAATACTTTAGTGGGAGACAAGAGAGGAGTAAAAAATATGGGGTGTGTTAGAAGGTCTAAGCTGGCCGTGAACTACTACAGTGCAATGTATTGCTGTAAAAGGAAAAGCAATACTAAATGTGTCTGGTGAAGGATTTCCAGCAAATAAGAGGGAAGCATGGCACTGAAATGTGGTGGAAACGGAAAGGATAGTGTGGGATGGGTAAAAACATTCAAAATGACTAGGGATTGGGATGGAATGAATTGTTGGGGACACCTGGTTTTTAAGTGTGTGGGCAGAGTTTTACCTAGTCTTGGCCTGATGTTACAGTAGCATTCCTGTACAAGAGCTTTCATTTCCTATTTTCTTTGAGTTGGCTATGACCTTCAAAGACATAGTGAGCATTGCTGCTGCAGTGGTTGTATGTAAGTGAAGAGGGGTGAAGAAGCTGTGGCTTATGAATGGGGATGGATGCCTGATTGAATGGAGGGTGGGGAGAGGACAGTGCAGGAACAGCTGGGTGAATTCAGATAAAAGAAGGATGGATAAGTAGTAGTGATTAAGCGCATATGCTAGGAGGGAGGAAGGAATGGGCAGTGTGTGACGGATTGCCAGATGATAGGAAAGGCAGAAACAGATATATAGAGAGATGTCTAGATATCTATATAGATATAAATTTATATCGATACAGATATATACCACATATATATGTATGTATGTATGTATGTATGTATGTATGTAAATGTATATATGGTTAGGCATAAGAATTGTTCACCTGCTTTAGAGTCCAGGAATGGGTTGTCTGAAATCACTGCTCTATTTCTGTCCTATTTGGGCAGCTGTAGCAGTGTCTCAAGGCCTCTCCCAAGGTAGTTCCCGTGGGTACTTGGCCTTGGCACTGCAGTAAAGGAGCCTGCCTGGCCTCCTCCCCGCGAGCAGGTGCCAATGAAGGTTGTGTCCCTCTCCTGCAGCTGTGTGGTGGATGAGATGGACTTCTCGGGCATGGAGCTGGACGAAGCACTGCGGAAATTCCAGGCCCACATCCGTGTGCAGGGGGAGGCACAGAAGGTCGAGCGGCTAATTGAGGCCTTCAGGTAAGAGAGCAACGTCTGTGGCCGCCCCTTTTCCACTCTGCTGCAATGGGGTGGGAGCAGAGAGCACACTCAAGGCAGAAAAAATGCAGTAACAATGGAGTGAATGGCAGGGGGCCTCCTTTCCAAAGGAGCTGAATACAGAGGGGCAGGTGAAGCACGGAGTCCCCTGTCCGCTGCTGCTGCAGAGCATGTCCTTGTTGGATGTTCAGTGACATGAAGGGCACAAAATCCAGCCTGTATGACTTCACAGGGCAGGGTGAGACCAGCCCTGACATGCCTGCCCGCAAGGGACTCCCGTTTCACTGATGACTCAGAGGAGGAGCAGTACTGGGGCTTGCAGGGGTGCTGAGTCTGCTCCCTTAGTGCACCTAGAGGAGTGCTTTGTCCTTAGCAAGGCAGGCTGGAGGAGACAGCTCTTGCATTAGCCCTGTGTAATGACACCACCCTGTGTAGTCTCTCTGGTCTTGCTTGTTCCTTTGGTTCCCGAAGACAAGAAGACTGAAGTTTCAATGGCCTGCTTTTACTGGTGGGTAAACTGGCCTTCAGAGAGCAGTCTGTTCCATCTCATTTTTGTGAGAGGTGGAGGGATCCACCTATGATGAAGCCATTGCCCTTCTGGAGCAGACTGGACTCCAAGGTCTCTGTATTAAGTGTGTACGTCCCTCCTGCTGCAGCCAGAGGTACTGCATGTGTAACCCAGACGTGGTCCAGCAGTTTCACAACCCAGACACCATCTTCATCTTGGCCTTTGCAATCATCCTCCTCAATACGGACATGTACAGCCCCAACATCAAGCCTGACAGGAAGATGATGCTGGAGGACTTCATTCGCAATCTGAGAGGTGAGGGTCCCACTTTGCTTTGTTTGCTCTCATGCTGTTCTATAACACACCTAGGAGAAAGCTGTAGCCAAAAGCTAGCAGAGCTGCCTTTTTTCAGGGCCTCTCTGCTCTCCGTGAGCCAGAGGGCACTTTCCGGTATCCTCTAGCTTGACAGCCAGGGCTGAGGAAGGGGAAAATCTCAGCTTTGTCCTCTGCAGAAAGCTGTCCAGCCATCTCAGAAACAGCTCCAAACATAAAAATTGCATTATTTTCCTTGAGAGATGTTTTCATCTTTTAATAGATCTCACTGTTTGGAATCAGTCCATCATATTAAATTTTTCTATTGCTCAGCTCTGTTCTTCCTAGACCTCGCTGGCTTGCACTAAATAAGCCTTTCGCTTCCTTGCTGCTTCAAAAATATGAACACATTTTCCTTCAATTCAGGCTAAATTTTCCCTTTCTTAATTGCTTGCAATTACTTTTAGTAACTGTTGGCCTGACTGAGTTTATGCCTACATTACCTCTTAGCAATTTCTGATACATTAGTTCCTCAAATCAATTTTCTTCTCTTTTTCAAAGTCCACCCCATCTTGCTAAAAGGTTGCTAAAAGCACTTTTTAAAATGTGGTCACGACACACCTATATGTAGAGCCACTGCCTCCTCCTTGCTCTCAGATCTGCTGGTATTGTTTGGCCTTTTTGACGTTGTGTCTAGACAAATTCTTGTCTAATTTCCCAGCTATGCTCCCTCCTAGGTCAGTCATCCTCCAAGTGTCTCTTATTGCACATCTGTGATTCAGATTAAGTTCCCTCAGAGTTTTCCCAGTGTGAATCCCCGTCTAGATTTTAAATTACTGTAGGTTTCTTTGACTTGTTTCTTTGTCCTCATGGCTATTCAGACAGTATCATCCCTGCCTCCTACATGTCCCCCAGTCTACCATAAACTTCAGATTGGAATAATGTGTGGCTGAGGCCCTCTTTGTGGAGATACTAAATGGAAGTCATACCTGCCATCATCCCCTTTTGGTATCACAGTAGATAGCCCAAACTCAAAAGCTTTTCAAAAGCTTTTTTTTTTTTTGTTAGTTTGCATTTAAAGTTGCTCAGTAAGCTTTCAGTTAATATCACAATGAATTCCACCACCATGAGTATCGCTCACCTCCAGTTTGTAACCCACCACACATCATTAGTGCTAAGCCCCTGTACAGACAAACAGAGACAGTTCATCCTAGACTGACCTTCAGCCCAACGCCCAGGTCAGGGCTTCGCTGGCCTGCGTTATAAAAACCTGAGAGTAATCAGGTTACATTTGCAAGGACATGAATCAGTAAACCAGGAGATGACAGTGCTTCTTTGTTCCTCAGTAGTTCTTCACCTGCAGGACAGCGCTCAGGGTGATACGTCTCAGATGAGGGAGCTGGAGGCAAAGCACATAAAATCAATATAAAATGATTGAAGGAATTCAGTTCAGAAGGAAAGACTGGCAGTTTAATTTGTGGTGTTTGGCTAAGGGAAGGGTGAAGGAGAACTTTTCTGTCAGGATCTGCAAGGACTGAACAGCAAAATTTAGAAAATTATCTAAGGAGACATAAAAGAAGGAAGGGACAGATCCAGGACAGAGACATCACAGACAGTGTAACAGGGAGATATGAGGCCAGGGAGACATCACAGAAGGAAAATGGCAGAGGCCATGAAGCAAAAGGAAGAACTGAGGCTTGCACTGGCAGACGGAGCAGCTAGATCCCATGATAGATCTCCTCCACCTCTAGCAATTATGATGATATGAAATCAGCGCTGGGGTTGCTGCTGAGTGGCCCAAGATATATGAACATGAAACTGTGGCTAGCCACCATGCAGAGCAATGGAGTAACAAAATCTGCAATGGCCTTAGAGGTGTCAGTCTTTCCTGCTGGTGCATCAGGTATGTTAGAGCAAGAGGGAAGACAGCCTAAAGAGAAGGATTGCTCTTAGCCTTCCCAGTGCTGCACAGTACAGAGGCAGTAGCTGGTGTCTGGCAGGGATCACCAGCCCTTCCCTTTCCTTCTATCCCTGCCTAGCCTGCCCTACATTTTCTGTGTTTGGCAGGGGTGGACGATGGTGCCGACATCCCACGGGAGCTGGTGGTGGGAATCTATGAGAGGATCCAGCAAAAAGAGCTAAAATCCAACGAGGACCATGTGACTTATGTCACCAAAGTGGA